GATGTGACTTTTAGAGCTTCCTCTGTTGCTGCAACACAAACAGCAAACTCTAATTTGATCAGAGAGAGGATAAATATACAGAAAATCCTTTAATCTTCAGCAAATGAAAACATTTATCTACACTTTGAAATATTACGGAGGGCTTATCAGAGCAAAATCCACAAAAAGAGAGAAATGGAGTTGCAAGGAGACGCTCAGCGCAACAGATGAATGAAGAAATAAAAATACAGCGCATGTGAATTCTTTTCATCTTGGCTTGTGTGAAAGTTTGTGATAACATCTAAGAGATAAAACGGTCCACTACAAGCAGTTCAGCCATGCAGGAAAAACCCCAAGGGAGTGGCAGAGAGATGCAGAGGAAGATGAGAGGAAGAGGAGGCCGATGGAGGTGAGAAGATAAGAACTTTCCAAGACGAAGAGGGAAGATGTTGGTGTTTTGAGCAGTAAAATAAAGGCTGGGAGGAGAACACGAAGGAGATGGAGGCGGTGATACGTAGAGCGGAGCAGCAGGAGGAACAGGTCTGGGAAAATAAGGAGCTTTTCTCCAGAGGCGCTCGTCTAGCCGGTCCCTGAATGCACCGCTCTGCTGGACTCAGCTGTCAGAGCTAAAGGTCTTCAGAGGGAGAGACGAACGGACGGGCAGAGAGGAGGCGAGACGGGCGGGAAACAAAACATGACTGAAAAATTTTACTTCCTAATTCGTTTTACTTTGACATTTTCTGTGTGCGAACTCGATAAAACCTCCCCCAAGTCGTTTCACTGTCGGCTCGAATAAATTCCCACAACACCAAAACTAAAATGTGGCTTCACCCGCAGGAGTCACTTCAAGTCATTTGTATCGAGCCAAGTCGCAACAGAAGTCCTCTCAGGACACGGGACAGGAACATTCACACACTGACAGAAGACCGTCATCGTTCTCTATCTGAGGAAGCAGCAGACATGTTGGATCTTCTCTTCATCACAGTCTCCATCCTGAGCGAGCACAGAGGAGACAGTGGGAGGAAAAACTCCCTTTAACAGAAAGAACCCTCCAGCAGAACCAGGATCAGGACACGTGGACATCTGCTGTGACCGGCTGAGTTTGAGAGGACAGGAAGGAGAGACAGACACAGAATGGCAGGTCCAGATGTAGGTGCAGATCCAGATG